CAAGTGTGTAGTCATTGCCAGACTCATCTATATGCTGATGTCGTCTGTCAGGTGCAAACTTGCCACAGCTGCAAATGTATCTACAAGAGGACTTTAATTCAATTCAAAAGTGGCTCGACAAATATGCTGAAACTAAACATGAAAAAATCTGCCCACATGCTCTTTGAATGAGAGGAAACAATGTAAGAAATAGAAAAGGATATGTATAAATAAGAAAATAATAAAGAAATGTAAAAAACAAAACAAAACACATTATAAAATTCATAAAATAATCATATAAAAAAGCACAAGGGGTTAGCGGTACTGAGCCTTCACGCCCTGTTTTGACAAATTTTACAGTACCACACAGTTCTAATGAATTTATTCTTTATTGGAATCAAAATAATGGTTATGAACCACAGAAACCACCAACACTCGGAAAAACGATATGATAAAAGAGATATATGGGATTACTTAAGGGAAATTGTACTTCTTTTTTGCATACATATGCTTATAACCAATTGCTTTAATATATAATTGTACTTGTAATCACTTATTTTTCATGCAAATATACTAATTAGAAAATTATATGACCAAAACAGGAATCAGACACCTGTATTCATAGTCTCAAGAGAAATACAATGGAGTAATGGTCATTTTAAGGACCTGATGGCCGCCATTTTGATTTCACTCGCGACAACAGCTCATGGCTTATGTTAAATGAAGAGTTATAATGTCAGAAAGAAGGAGACTAGAGTGACACGCAACATACTACTAGCAGATCTGTACGTATTGGACATTTCTGTACACCCTGAGGCAATTAATGTTCATAGAGATGAAGAAGATGACATAGTCTGGGATCGCTTCTTTAATTCAGACAGAAGACATGTTTTATTGTCGATGGTAGAGACAGCACGAACAACACGAACAACAGAATGCAAGTGTATTATACAGAGCGGAGGCATGGAGACCTCCAGTCAGCAGCTGCCACGGTGCCATGTAGCTTGGCCTTCAGATAGACAAAACTAGGGAAAAGTACTGGCTTCTGCACATTGATAGAATGATGAGTTTAACTTTAACAAAAGTTGCTTCAAAGTGTTATGAAATCTCACAGAGACGTCATGTCTATAACTGTTGATAACAACCACATTTTTGATCTGACTTTTGTGTCATGGAGGCAGTTACACGCATATCTTTGTCACACAAAGAACAGCAAGCCAAATGTCTGAAGTGTTTGCGTTGGGAAGGTTGTGTACATCAGAGGAGCAGCAGGTGAGTCAGAGCCAAACCAAAGACTTTGTAGCATAAACTCAGTCATTGCAGAAAAATTCCAGTTTTGTTCAAATAGATGTGTAGTCGCCACCAAAATGTTTTTCTGACACATTTGTCTGTAAAGTGTGTTCTTATACTTAAAGGAAAATACAAAGATCAATCAGGCCGTGTTGTTATTCTCTTCTTGCAGAGAAGATTCGCCACAGAGTCAATCGTCTGGGACAGTTAGGTTTAAGTGAAAGGAAGTATAAGTGAATTTATCTGTATGTGTCTGCACTGTACAATGTGTTGTCTAGACGGCATCCTATTAAGGGCCTTTAGAGGATATAAACTATACCCTGGTGTTGAGTAAAGAGTCAGACCAGTGATCCTACTTACACTTATCAAGCCGCATGCTTAAAGCCCTATCTGTTTTATTTCGTGCTGTCTCAAGCTTGGAGAATTTTTGAGTCTTAGACATGGGTGTTTTGTGTAAAAGCTTATGGGTTTCAGCTTCCTTCCTGTCTCATACATTATTTGACAGCACAGCAGCTGAGTGGGTAGTGCATCACAGTAAGTAAGTTGTGGGTTTGATCCCTGGACCAGGCCTGTCTCTGAGGTATAGGTGGGTTTCCTCCGGGCCAGTGCAGCAGATCGGCAGTGTGCATTGAGAAACTTCAATAAGCCTATAAATTGGTTTACTAGTTTAAGGCCGTATAATGGGTATTTTAAATATATTACTATTGTTATTTGTTGCATTGTAATTTTCTGTTTGGGATTGTTTGTCACTTTGTCAACAGTCCTCTTTTGCATAATTCTGAAGCTGATATTGGAAAAACATGGCCTCAGTCCTACTGTCAGTCAGTCCTGTGATCTCCAAGGCCATTTTGCCGAGGACACATTGGCGCCACAGGCAAATGAAGTTTGTTCGGCTGCATAATAGTAAAATCTGTTCTCGTGTGTTGAGGGTGTGTGTCCCACTGTTCATTCCTGTGCCCTGGTGCTACAAGTTTTGGGCGGTACGGTGGCTGAGTGGATAGCACTCTCGCCTCTCAGCAAGAAGGTCCTGGGTTCGAATCCCGGTCGGACCAGGGCCTTTCTGAGTGGAGTTTGCATGTTCTCCCCGTGTCTGCGTAGGTTTCCTCCGGGTACTCCGGTTTCCCCTACCACTAAAAATATGTCCAATAGTTCTGACATGCGCTTCCTGTACTGGCAACCCTGCTCCCATCTCTGTGTGGAGTGAGAGACAAATGCCCAAAATTAACAATTGTAAACCGCTTTGAGACTCAGATCTGCAGTGAAAAGGCGGTATATAAATAAAAACTTACTTACTTACTTACAAGTACTGTGACCCACTCGGACTCAGTCTTTACTCATCTTGAGGGGCCGACTGTTGGACCATTGTTCATTGTCACAAACTATGTATGATTTTAAACCACATTTTGCATTTGAGTTCTATGTTTCTTGTGCATTATTACCTACAATTCAAATACTCACTTCAAACTAAATTTAATATATTCATATATTGAGTGACACATGAACAGGCCTGTCAAGCCAGGCTCTGGATATGTTGGTATTTCATTACTGGAATAGTGTATGTGTGTCAAATATTTGTATATAATGATGCAAAAAAATAAATAAAAAAAAGGCACAAATAATATGACCACACTGCACAGTATGCTGGATGTAGAAGCCGAGACCCTTCTTGGTATTTTGACCTTTACAAGGGAAGAAACACCTCAGCAGCTCCTGAATTAAGAACATTTTCTTAACTTTCTTAACGATTTGGCTCATACATTTTTTCTTATTTGTTTTTTATTTTATTTTAGTCATTTTTAATTGCCTAGAAAGTTTCTGGCTTTAGACTAAGTTTCTGGCGTGTTTCAAATCAAATTTCTGAACAAATTGAGAGTAAATGTTTGGTACATTTAATCTCCACATTGTATTTACATTTGGATTGAAAAAGTTTTGATGGATCAACGAAATGGTGAAAGAGTTGTTAAATATTAATGTGTCAAGTTACCCAGCATCCTAACACAGCCAACTCTAAGCCTTTTTTTAGGTTTTAACAGATAAGTAAGTTTGTAAACGTGAACTTTGATTCAAAGGCATTTTTTGTTTATTTTTGAATTTATACTGAGCACAACTTTGCTATCTATCCGATGTACCAAACAAGAGGCATGTGAGGTGAGGCCAACCTATTTGAGGCACGGAGTGACCATGATTGGACGATCTGCTTTACTTTGAGTTGCACAAAGCGACTGAGTCACACTTTGTCAACAGCAGTGACGTCTGCTGGTTAATGACTGATGAGATCCTCACAGACTACAAGGCAGAGCTTTGTGCAGTGTTAATTAACAACTAATTACAACACAGTCCTTACCTGACGAGGTAAGTAGGCCCTCAGACTATGATAATGATAAGTGTTGACCACCTTATCTGGGACGTCTCAAAATGGAATCAATGAGAAAAGTTCAGTAAGATGTAACTGCTCAACAAACTATCTGTGTTGCGTCTTGGTGTAGTGCCTTTGATGGTTGTTGTTATGGTCTGTTATTGTTCACCAGGTGTGGAGGATTTTTTGGCTCTTTTCCCTAAACTTATACCTTGGCTATCAGCTGCCAACACATTTTATAATAAAGAAATCTTATGTGTATTATGACTGGCAGTTCTACATTTACGTAATTATGTACAGTGACGGATGGCAAACTTGCTGACAGGATAAACCAAAGTGATGTATTAAATTGTTAACCGGTTTCAGTGTTTTTGTCATGTGGGTAACTACATGAGTCAGAAGGAGAGTCAAGGTATTGCTACAGAGCGTTGTGGAATGTGTGGTTGAGTTTTGCCGTTTGCCGAGAGCTGCAGGAGGTGGAGTCTAAAATGTCTGCGCTGCACATGAGTTACATTTGCTTATTTCCCTTAAAGAGATAGTGGTCTCAAAAGGCTGCATGTTTTGTAGTTGAATCGGTTCTGTTTACCTACATTGATTGTATCACCTTGTTGTTCACAGACTTGCACTGGACGTCCAGAAAAAGCCATGGCAGTGTTACAGCTGAAGTGTGAGGTAAGTCAGTCATATTTGGTAAAGGACTTGTATCACAAATATTTGATCATGTAATGGTTTCATTTCAATAAATAACAATAATGCATTAGACATGCAGTGTGTATCAAGGACATGTACAACTGTGAAAAGTAAACTTAAGGCTAAAATGTGGCTTTAAGTGTATCAACAAAGTAGATGGGGGATTGTTATAATGTATGTAGTACTTGGGTAAATGTTTATAACTCAATATCCTCTACACTACAAAACACTTTAGAATGGTTGTATTTTCATGCTGTCTGATATGCAAAGGTGCAAGGTTTTGTTAAAGTAAATATTAAGCCATGTCCATGGGAATGTGTGCTCTTTGCTTACATTCTTCCACATACTGTGTTTTCTCTTCCGTTTGTCTTGTCAGATTAAACTAAAGATGTTATTATTGCTTATAACTTGACATTGCTAATGTACAGTAAGTAGGTTCTTCCCTCAATCTCTCCACAGATCTGGCATGTGCCTGAAAAGTTACATTTAGCGCCTTTTTAATTTGGGGACTGTTACGTTCCAGTACACAAAATAATGCGATTTGAAGAACTTTTATTTATTTATTACAATGTCCTATTTTATATATATATTTTTAATACTTTCTATGCATTCTCCATCCACAGCACTGCCACTGAACAATGTAAGGGGGACCAACAATACTCCATACCACACATCAGCCAGTCAAATGCACACGGATAACCAACTAGCCAATCATGGAAAAGTGGTCAGTGAGAGTCAGTCCCGCTCCCCTAGTGTGAGCCAACAGGCTCAGCAGCAGCAGAGTGCTACTGGACATCTGGGCCCAAAAGGTGTCGGGGGCCATGGAGTCAAGAGCGGCCAAGCCCTGAAGTCTGGGAGCCAATCGTTGAGCTCCGCTGGAGGGATGCTAAAAACCAAAACCAAGCGAGAACGCAGTGTCTCCATGGACTCTGATGACAAAAATATGCACTCATCTGTGGAGAGCGATGCCAAAGCAGGTATGTTCACCAACTAATGTAGCAGAAATTACAATATGCTTCATACTTTTGCTTTTATCAGCAAAATCTTCAAACTCAAAATGATGCGCTTTTGCCTCCTCCACAACAGGAAGTTATTGTTGGGACTTAAAAAGACTGATTAACTTGTTTCCTTTCTCACTGAAATTCCCTGACCTTTAACACAGCATAAAAAAATCCCCAGGCTTTCACTTGCACTATATGTGCTGGCTGAAATATGTCAACTAGTAACATTTTGTACAGAACTATCAATTAACTTAAAAATCATTAATCTTAATGTTTTACATAAAACTAAACTTACGCTGGTAGTTATCTTTATATAAATCTCTTTTGGGTTTTGTGTACAGGATATTGCACAGTAATAATAATAATAATACATTTTATTTCTTAGGCGCCTTTCTTGACACTCAAGGTCGCCTTACAAGTAAAAAGTGCATTTTAAAAACAGTTAAAATACAAAGTTAAAGCATCATGGACAGAGGAGAGTGTGGTTATGTTAGTGAGTAGGCTTGTCTAAACAGATGAGTTTTGAGGGTGTAAACCTGAACAGTATATATTTTTATCATCATATAATTCTAATGAGTGATAATGATGATTATATTAAGTATAATGATGAATTGCCTTTTCTGATCTAAATGTTGAAAACATTGTATTTCAAACACAATCAAGGTGAGGTTTAATTTAAACTACATTCTGACTCCCCAAATGCAAAAGCACAAGTATAAGTTTAAATATGCAATATTTTGGAATCTCAACTGTTGAAGATTGAGCTTTTGTAAAGTCATTACAATTGCGTCACAACACACACCTTGCAGCTGTCCCTGTATTTAGGAGCATTACCCATAAAGCTCCATACATACAGATACGTGAAAAAGTTTGAATCTCTTTCCTTAGGTTTGTCTGTGTTCATCAATTTCTTCCCAAAGGAGCTGTCTGTAAACACACCACTGGAAGGCACTGGAGAACATTGCACCACACAACTATTAGATATTCTTTACTAAAGATGTTTCCAGACTGCCGGTTGGCGTGAAGGAGTAGTGAATACTTGACAGCCGCATTATAGGACTTTGTATACTTCCGCTCGGAGAGCCCCTAAAGAAGTGGTCTCAGAATGGTTCAGGCCACAGTCTGCAGCGGAGAGAAAGCAGTGTGAATGTGGCTGTTGTCAAACCAACATTCTTCACCACACAGAGACCCTGGCTGTAACATATAAATAAACCTTATTCTACGTTAATTTATTGACTTGGCATTGATGGCATTAGATTTTATCCAAGCACAAACTAAAAAGTGTTAAAAGGTTTTCAATTTAACTTACCAAACTGTTTCCACAAATAGGACCATCACAAAAGATTTTCTGTTTTTAGGATTCCGGATGTTGTGTGATTTTCTTTCTGATTACAAGAGTTTTGCAATAAGTGAATGATAAAGTGGCCAAATATGGAGGAGCTCTGTGAAAGAGCGAAAGAAAGATGCAAAGGTAGATAGTGCAGGGGCCACACTTCTATTAGTGGAGCCAACTTCAGGTTAATGCAGGGCTCCGTCAGGAGCTGGTTCCTTATGGATTTATGGGAATACATTTATTATAAAAGAGACCTTCATGCTGTGTTTTTGATTCAAGCAAACATCTCCAATCAGCTGTCAGCCACTCCCAAGGGCACGTGTGCACGGCACTGCATTGTGGGAGATGCAGTGTAGTTCATACACTATGATTTGTTGTCCATTCATGCAGTCCAGTCTGGCTACAGTTGCTTTGCACATGGCTCAGTCGACTGCAGCCGAGCTGATCTCACATTCCTAGGAGCCACATATAGAGGCATGACATCTAACCTTCACCTGCTTGCTGGTGCTTTATATACATTTCTCTATTAAACACCTGTGTGTGTGAACATAAATAATGTGGACATCATGTCCATTGTATTTACAATTACTGTAAGAATGATCCTACATTCATCTTTTGATCTGAAAATGCTCAATAGATTTAGTTTCTGGATGAGTGTCCTCCAGTTTCTCCCACCACCCAAAAACATGCAGCAGAGCAGTATGAATCTGGTGTGATTGTGATGGTGGTGGTCGGAGTGGCCGAGGGCATGGATTGGTCGACAGGCTGTGTCATGTCTGCTAATCGTCCTGAGGTACTTTACAAGTTCAATGTGATTGCTAGTTAGTTAGCAAGATGACACAAAATATTATGGTGGATTCTTAAAGTGGTTCTCACCCCCGCTCCTTGGAGCTTACGTCACTCACATTTCCTGTTCAAATCTTCCTCTAAATGGGCGTAGCCTGGAGGACTAAAGGGGGCGTGAACGAGACTGGGCCGTTTACATTGCTCTGGGCGGGGGGCTGCTGACGTCAGGTCCAACTTGCAGACGTCAGGTCCAACTTCTGTGCCAGTGTTGGCGCCAGATTCAAAATTAAAATGTAGTAATACAGGTCGCCAGCAGATGGCGCCTCACAGACGGTTTTAGGCAGAAAGTCTAACTTTCAACTAATTTGCATCAAAGTGACAAGATTATGACCAGGATATGTAGACAACACTATTGGACACTCATTTATACCGTTTATCAGCAAAAAAAAGTGGATTTGAGGGTGAGTTGTCCTTTAAGGATCTTTCAGAACAGCTCAGAAATTGGACAAGAAACATTTTGAGGTGATTCTAAACACAGCTTATTTTTTACATACCATAACTGCAGAGGTCTGTGCCGTGGAAGTACTCTGTTGGTTTGCGCTCTACAAGTGTTTTTTTAATTATTGTTATCATTCATTATTAGGTCTGTTAGTCAGTTCACACACATGGTAAGGGGAATTGAGAAGAGTGAGAGTACACATACCTCTGCAAGAGCTGGAATTAAACTGGCTTTAGCAACTTTTTAGTCTCTTCTTGAATTTACTTTTCTTTCTTAGAAGGCATCATGCGCAGTAAGCGTCGCTGTGTTTTGGAGAGAAAACAGCCCTATAGTGGAGACGAATGGTGTTCTGGACCTGACACAGAGGATGAGGATAAGCCACACAATCTAATCCACAGTGAGTTGACTTTTTAAATACTTGAGTGTTTAAATCAATATTTGTTAAGCCCCAGCTAGTTGTATAATTGAATCCAAATGTATCCCATTATATGTGAACTATGGATTTAGATTCTGAAAATTATTTTTATTTTAGGAGAAAAGACCTTGGTGGGACCTGTTAAAGGTGTATGTGATCTCCAGTCAGAACCTGGATCAGGGCTGAAGGTAGAACCGAAACAAACTATAAAGCAACTGGTGTATGTTTTCACAACCAACCTAGCCAACAGGTAAAACCCAAGTTAACGAAGTAACAGTTGTCCAAGATCAGCTTTTTGACATTGATGTGTATTATTTTTCAGTGCTGCAGATGCTGTATTAAAAGGCCAAAGTGATTCCATTCTTCTTTTTCACCAGCAAAATGTTTCTTGCTCAAAGCTGGAACAGGTCAGACATGCTTAAATTTGGGCCTCTCAGGTATCCTGGAGGTGCAAGATGTGTGACTTATTTTGATTATTTGTTTGGATCATTAAAAAAGCCTGTAAATATGGGATTCTTGAATTGATTTGACAAAAACAAATCTATAATAATGCGACTAAAATTTTTTATCTGGAAGTTTTGAAAATCACATTGATAACGTTTTCAGCGTAAATATTTAAACTTCCATAAGGCTCTGAAATGCTCCGTCCTGGGTGACCTCTTTATGAGTTAATTTCTTTAGTAGTCTGTAGCATCATAACGACTAGCCAGACAGAGGCTGTCTGGTATAAATAAAGGCAAATATGTAATCTTTATTTTATGTACTCATATTTCACAGTCCAAGGACACGTAAAGGACTTTACAATTTTGTGTATTTATCATTCATTCAGAAGTGGTATTGCTGCGCAACAGGCACACCAAAGTTTCCTACCACCCCTATTGTGGGTTTTTTTTTCATAGTAAAAGAATCCTGGAGTATCTGGAGGAAACCTACGCAGATAGATGCGAACATGCATTTTCCACCCAGAAAGGTGCTAACTGCTGCACCACCATACCCCCAGATACAATGTGAGGTGGGGCTGCGTGAGATGAGGAAATGCCTTGTTGTGAGGCTGAAGTTATCCTTATGTTTTTCTGACGAGAGACGCTGGAACTCCTCTGATTAATCACAATAGAAGTGTTGTTGTCAGTCACAGACATGTGCCTGACAACATTAGTCTGGACACTAACTATTAAACCAGGCGGAATCTCTGCTCTTATATGATCTAAATTACTCTTTAGACCATTATTTAATTACACAGATGGTTGATATTACATTTTATTTTAAACAGGGTCATCTTGCAAGAAAGAAGATCTCTAATATGCCAGAGAAAGTGAGGTCTAGCAGCTCCCCGCCTAGTTCCACACCTAAATCTCAAAGCGGGACTCCACGACCATCATCAGCAGGTGCAATGGGCATGACTCAATCTTCATTAGAACAATCCAACAGTGAAATGGCTCAGACCAGAACCAGCGATGGCCAAAATACTCATAATACAACAATTATGAAATTAGAGGGAGGTTGTTTGCCAGCTGACATTGTTTCAGCAACCAGGGATAGGGAGGCACTCAGAGATATGGTTCATCCTTTTTCAACAGCATCTCCTTCTCACAGTCCCACTCTCCAGTCTGCACACACACAGAGTGCCCAAGTTCCCAAACTGTGCCCTGAAAACCTTTCCAAAGAGCAGCTAGAACATAGGGTACGCTCTCTGCAAACCCTCAGAGACATTGAGAGAATCTTTCTTCGAAATGCAAATAATGCTGAGGCTGGAGATCCAGAGAGCTCTAGCAACAATCCCAACAATCCTTCTAGTATTACAGAAAGGAGTGGCATTCTGGATGGTAGTCGCAATGGAAGGGCTATTTCTGGAAGCTGTACTACGCATAATGTGCTTTCCTCATCCCCAATGGGGAATATGAGAAAATATGAGGAACCACTTCAGTCAATCATTTCTCAGACAGAGTCTCTGCGTGGATCACAACACCATAATTCAGACCATCCCCATCACCAGATGTCCCCATCCCGGATGGAAATTGCACATTTTCTTGGTCCAGAAGGGCTATCTCCTGAACAAATTGCCTGGAGAAAACTCCAGGAAGAATATTATCAAGAAAAAAGAAGACAACAGGAGGCACAACCTACTGTTCATTCTGAAATGGGAATACCTGCAGGTCCCATGATGGTGAGAGGACCACCCCCTCCGTACCACAGCAAACCTGGAGAACAGCAATGGCCAACCAATATGATGGGAGGAGGAGTAAGAAGGAATACACAAATATTAGACATGTCAGAAGGACCTCAAGGCTCAAGATTTTTAGGACAAATCTCAAGAGGCCCAGCTGGGGGAGGTTTTCCTGATGGTTCGGAGTCATTTCCTTTAGAAGGCGTAGGACACCAAAGGCCGATCAGACCAGCAATGCTCTGGTTGGATGAAATGCCTAATAATGATAATAAGGGTCCTGTTCAAGGGGTTTATACTGGTGGACCTCCTCAGCACCTGCAAGGACATGCAGAATCTTCTAATCATCCAATTACACGGGAGGAAATAATTCATATTTTAGAAAAACGTCAGATGCAAGGACTTCCAAGGAGTGAACTTGTTCAACTGGCTAAGCACCTGCAGTATAACATGCAAAGACCTAATCGGATGATGCGCCCTCCACTCTCATCTCAAAATGACCCTATGGACTTTCCTACTTCGCATGTCATTGTGGGTTCCCCTGGAGCTGGTCCTCAGATAAAGGACTTAGTAGAATCTCCTCCAGGAAGTAATATCCCTCTTAACATGAAAATGGTTCTTAACGCACAGCAACACCAGCAATTGAATTTAGCTCAAAAATTCAAAGGGTCATTGAAAGATGGGTCTTTAAATGACCTTTTTGGCCCTGCTGGAATGTCCCAAGCAAGAAATGTACAATATAGGCAAGAAGGAAATCGGGCATTTAACCATGGATCTGATGGTGCCTTTCAATTTTCCAACCAAGATCCGTTCACTGGAGGGAATGTTGAGGGGTCATATCTTCAAAATGATTCTGAAATGTTTGAAGAGATGGCCCCAAACCAAATCGGAGGCACTATGCGGCTCAGTCATATGCCTGTGACAGAGAATTTCAAAGGTCCAGATGCCAGAGCAAGACACCATTCAGATCCAACACTGAAGGCTTTATCCTCACCATCACTTCCTGCACCTCATCAACTAAATTCTCCATCAATTGACCAGGTCCCATCACCTCTTCTGCCTTCATCGTCCAGGGGTGAGATTAAGTCACCTTCCCACGTGTCTTCTTCTGTTGCACATCAGCCTCCTCTTCCAGCAGCAGGTCCTGGGACCCCGACTTCCATAAAGTCTCCTCATGTAGTAGGCTCTTCCAACCATGGACTGCACTCTCCCTCTGCATCACCAAGACAACTCAAATCGCCTGCAGTCAGTGGAGCTGCTGGCTCTCCAGGATGGACATCTCCGAAACCAGCTCTTCCAAGTCCTGGTCTTGCCAGTGGCAAGATTATAGGCAAGGGAGGACCCTCTGTTGAGACAGGTAAAGGGCTATACTATATTTACAGAATATTTTGTTGACCAGTTTTATGTCATGGGTTTCTTTGTGTGTTTTCAGGTCCACCACTGCCCACCAGAAGTTTGAACTCGACAACCATTAATCAACCAGGCTCCACAAACACTAGTATACCATTTACTTCCTCTACTGAGGCACCTCCTTCACAAAATCCTCTGTCATTAATAATGTCTCAGATGTCCAAATACGCAATGCCCAGCTCCATGCCTCTCTATCATGAAGCAATCAAAACACTCGCTAGTTCTGATGATGAGATGATGCCTGATCGCCCTCTTCTATCCGGTGTGTGCATTGGAGGTAAGAGAATCTATTTTTATTAAACTGAAGTAATCTGCATTTTCTTTATAAATGTATTCTGTATTCCATAAGACATAAATTAACCAAAACATTTACAATGTGTTAAAACTCTCTAGGAAACATTGGAAATGCCCAGTCATCCCAGTTGCTTGGTCCAGATCCACAAAGCCCCATTGGAATTATCAGCCATGGTCAACAGCAGCTCCCTCATGAAATGATGCTGTCATCACCAAACCAAATGGCAATGTCTTCTATGAACTCTGTTATGATTGGAGCTGATGGAATAGTTGCATCTTTATGTCAGAACCAGATGGGAGGGTTTCCTCGTCTCCATACTCAGCAAGCAGCAATGGTCCAGAATTTCTCTCAGCCCAATGACAATATCCTGCCTCCACAGCAGCTGCACTTGATAAGTAAAGGCCACCCACACCAACGAAACCCTCCCAGAGATGCATTCAATTCTTTGCCTGTTGGTGATGGTCCGGATTTAAGTGAAGTAATACGCCCTACTCAAACAGGTATTCCAGAGTTTGACCTTTCCAGAATCATTCCTTGTGACAAACCCAGTAGTATTCTTCAGTATTTTCCCAAGAGCAATCCTGCTTATCCAAATCCGCCTCAAGGGCCGCCATCTCAGCACAATTCGTCACAGCAGCTCCTAAAGCAACTGTCTTCATCTATTGTTCACGGCAGTGGGCCTTCATCAAACCCACACATTGCCAACCTCCAAAATATGATGGCAGATCAGCAGCTGCAGCCTCCATCACATGTAGGACGCCAAGGCCTGGGAGGGTCCAGAGGTATGGTGTCTGGTGCAGGGATCGGTCCCATGTGCCCCCCGGGACATATGATGGGGAGACCAGTCATGTCATTGCAGCAGCAGCAGCATGGTATGATGCCCAACAACCCACTGCACCATTCAGCTCACCCATACCAAGGCATGATGCCGTCTCAGCAGCATTCTCACAACACTATGGCACAGCATAATATGATGATGATGATGCAAGCCAAGCAGCAAGGTTTGGCAATTCCAGGCGACCCTTTTGGTCCCCAAGGTCATCTTATGTCCCCTCAGGTTCCAATGATGGGCCCACCACAACCAGGCATGATGGGTCCTCAGTCGATCAGGCAACGGGGAACACCTATGGACTCTTCAATTAGCTACGGATCAGGAGCCAATATACCATTCTGATAAATAAACCGTAGATAGAAAAAGGCATCAGCACTGGATTAACACTTTCCATTCATGTGAGATAAAAAACACATAAGTTAAGAAAAATATAAAATGTCTAATGATGTAACATTTCTCAGATTTTAAACAGTCTGAAGCCATTTTTAGATGTAATATTGTGTACATTTGCATTATAACTGTTGTGCAGAGTGGCAGTAAGGAGTGCCTCAAATTTCTATTTGTTTTATGGTCATTGATTTATTTTCTCAAAGCTAATGTGCAAAAGATAAAAAGAAAATTATAATATATACCTGCTGTATATATGATGCAATTTGTGATTGCTTTTGCAACTGTTCTGTATAACTGTTTTATTAGAAGTCAAATATAGTACAACAAACTCAAATCTTAGTTTGTCTTTAGTTTTTAAATCTTACAAATTATCACTAGCACAGCACACTCATGTTAGAGGATAAAAGAATATCACTGGGATAACATTTCAAATGTGCGTTCAAAACTTTGAGGTGTTTGCGGTTATTGCTCCATCTGAAAGAGGATAATTGATTTTTAGACACACCCAACCACAAACGAGTGCAGTAACTGTATGAGTTAATTCTGAAAACAAATATCAACAAAAGTATAGAGGATAGGGTTCAAACAGCAGTGGAGGATCTTGAAGCATTTTGCCACTGCTAAAGCGGAGTTTACTGATGTAAAAATCACATCTAATGTTTATAATGAACTTCATAATACTTGTCACTCACCATTATTGATGTGTAACAGTAAACCATGAGATACGAATCAGAAGTCTGTTGGTTAGAACCCAGTTTTTTGCATGCAAACATCATCATTATAGAAGCAAAAAAGTGCTGTTGAGTTTTGGTCACCTAATACGATCAAAAACACAATCTGGATGCAAAGAAACTGTCGCCGTCTCAAGGGAACTGTGATTATGAGGCCGTTTCCTGCAACACTCAGCACAAATGTCAGGCTATAGAACACAGGCAGGAACACAGCAGGAAAATTCTGCATGGTTTTCTCTGTTTGACAATCATCGTCTATGAGGGTGTCTCACACTTGTCTTTTATGTCAAAATACAAGAAATTAACGTTGACTATAGTTCAGGTAAATACATGTGGAGAAACAGAAAAATGAATACAGTTAATAAAGAATGCACATATTCCTGGAAGTAAAATTGGACATGGAATTTTAAACATTTATAATGAGATTATTTTAAGAAATGTGGGACTGTCAAACAATGCCACCCTGAGGCCAAAACACTACTATACTGTTTTACTTCTCCTTTGCAATTGGTGAATTCTGTTGTTTTATATATTTGACATTGAAACCAAAATTAGGATTGGCTACCAAGGGATGTTATGATTTTAAAGCTGTAATGTCGTTAGGTTAAGAGATAAGATAAGATCGACTTTATTGATCTCACACAGGAGAAATGTACATGTCACATCTGGCATGGAGAGATTCACTCAAGAAGCAAAAGTGCAAACATGTTAAATGCAGGATATATTATGTACAATAAAAGTGGCAATTAAGAAACAGTAGCAATACTTAAGTATCATTGGTAGCAATACTATAGTATCATTGTTTATACTCTGCAAGGAAAATAATATCCAATCTATGGCCCTCAAGCCAAATGCGTCCCCTCAGACCAATTTGGCCAGGCCCTCATTTTTCCGCTGAAATGGCTCTTTATGACCAAACACATCTTTGGATATCAATGGATTGGCCTGTGCTTCATATGACCTTATGAAAAATAGTTAGCTACCTCTGGACTGAATTATTGCCCAGTGTTTTCCTAAACTGTTCCCAGATTCAAAGTTAGGTGTAATATGTCACACCTTACTTAGAACAAAACATGGAACAATTAAGAATCAAATACTTCTAAGTTCCTTGTTGTCAAAATGGTATCGTTTATTTCAATCACTAGTTTTCAGATGCCCATGTGTATGTCAGGCCATTGTTACATCTTTGGATCAGCTTTTTCAAACAGAAAAGTGAAAAAAGGGGGCCACTTTCAGCCAATCAGCTCTCAGCCCAAAGCGCCAAATAGTGACTCCCAGGCATGGATCTAAAATAGTTTCCAAGGCTCTTACAAATATGCAAAAGATTACATGTTTTCTTACAAGACCATTATTTGATCAGATTTTAGTTTTTCAGGACTATTTCTGTGACATGTACAATTTATCAAGTGAATACAAAGGTTAGGCACCCCAGCTTTAAATCCAACATTAGGCAATTTTATCCTAGACGTTTTAAATGTTTATATCCTGTTTGCAAGACTTGGATCACTGTGCACGTAACACAGTTGGACATCAATCATACGAGACTACATATCACTCTTTGAGATTAGCTGCTTAATAAATCATATTTAAATAGGTCTACTTAGTCATTTCTGACAGGCGCTACTTTTTAACATGTGTGTAAATGAAACTACCAAAAAAAAAATCACAAATGCCACGGTAAGGGCTTTGAACAACCCTACAGACAATAGGGGTTTTCTCGCAGATTGAAATGACCATTTTGAAGTGTCTCTGAGGAGAAAAATGATGACGACGTCGACAGGAGGCAGGTACAAATACAGCGGGGGCCATCTTGGACACTGCCAGGGCTTTCTCGTAGTCAGCTAAAGTCAATAGCTGCACCTTACAATCACCGCTACAAAGACTGGTAAATTAAAAACAAAGGTAAGACACACGACGGAAAACTCCAATAACGCATACACTTCCTTGCTACACTGAAAGGGTCTGTTTATCTGGTTACGGGTTTTTTCCAAAGGCTGAAATGATACCGTTCCCTGTTAGCTGTTTATGCTAGTTAGCGGCTAGTTAGCTGCGATCAGAAATCCCGAGAAGGCCTGGACAAGTGAATTTTATTGTAGATAAATTAATACTACGTTGTCAATCCGATGAGTGGAGTGGTGATAACTTACATGATGATATACAGTGTCTGACCCAAATAAACACGACTGCTTAGCTTAGTTACATGTGTTGTTGATCTCCCGTACCATCCCTGTGACGGAAGCTAACATCAATGCTAAAATGTATGTTGTTGTACCTAGATATGAATATTATCCGCATTGCCATTATAGTTGGTACAATGTTCTGAATTTGCTTTTAATTCGAATATGAGTTTATGGTCCGCAGAAACAATAATATTTAGACTGCAATGTTGTCACAACGTGAAAATAATAACGTTGTCAGTCATTGTATTATTGTGTTAATGTGATTGTTGGTCTGAACAATTTAAATTTGATGTTGTAAATTGGCTTCTGAATCAAACACTTAAAAGATAGTCAGATAGTGCCCCATTTCATTACGAGTCATGAGATTTTTGATAATGGTGTGTTGACGTTGTCGTTTTTACTTTTGCAGGATAAGATCTGTGAGGACACGAAGGCCAAGCTATGCACGATGGCTAGCTGAAACAGTGAGGCATAACTTCAACACTCACCCATTTATCTATTGATATTATATTAAACATAACATCTGAACCTACTTGAGATAAGAACTTGTGTGGTACATGAGAAGAAATCCGTACAACCAAGCAACGCAATTAACAACTCGTCACTAAATTGAGACTGAGGTTTCTTTGTGATATCCTGAGAACTTGTTGTCATGAGTACTGCAAGAACTGAAAGTCCAGTCATTTTGGGCTTGTCCAACCAGAATGGACAGATCAGAGGCTCAGGGAAGCCAGGTGGAGGAGGAGGAGGAGGCGGCGGCGGCGGCAACGGCGGTGGCGGCCCACAGCTAAATCCTATAAAAGGCACAATTAACAACGGAGACTCCCTGCCAGCTACAACTAATGCTGTTATCAAGTAAGCTTAAACATCCTACAATCATGGTTATTGCATACATTTGTTATATACATTGGTGGCATGCTAAATAAATGCATCCTGCAGACCTGGAGATGACTGGAAGAAGAATTTGAAACTACCGCCAAAGGACATGAGAATGAAAACATCGGTAATTATCGCAACAACACTGTGGACACGGTTTTTTGTAAAATATTTGACTTGTTTCCATATTTGCCATAGGATGTCACATCAACTAAAGGCAATGAATTTGAAGACTATTGCCTCAAACGGGAGCTGCTCATGGGAATATTTGAAATGGGTTGGGAAAAACCATCTCCTATCCAGGTATATACGCCATACACACATTTTAGAATATAGTATTTACTATTGTTTTTAGGTTGCTTCACTCTGTTTACCAATCACTCAGTGAACCTCATGAGAATAGATAAGCAAACCCATTGAGATTTCTCTATTTTTGTGACTGCAGTCTTTGTTATACTTTGGACGTTTGTGGTGAGGTTTTTCAGAAACTGCAAATTAATTCCAGAACACCCGTTTAATCACCAGGAGATGAAATTGCAGCCTCCTCTATCCAGAAATATTGCATAGTCTCACTTCGAAGCTAGTGTCGATGTTTCGATGCCATGCTGAGGTATTCCTAGCATGGGGCTATTTATAGATTATTATGCCACGCTGTGGAATGAACTTAAATATTTGTCTATCTTCAGAATCAAATATAAAATTTCCCTACTGTGGGACGAATAAAGGATCTTAATGTCTGTTTTGCCACCAGAAAGCAGAACGACTATTCTGGTCTTTTAGACATTCTTGAACTCACATTTGCCTCATCACAAGCATTGATTTTTAAATCGAAACTTACAATAGCTCAGATTTGTTTTTAATAAATCATCTGGGAATATATGGCACAACTGAAAACCTACAGTTTGTGGGGACTGCAGTGTTTTACATGCCAAACAAGCACTGCACTGGTCAGAGATGGAGTCAAGAGGCCAATGGTAACTTTGGAAGTGCTGAAGATATCCACATTTCATCTGGGGAGAATTTACAACACATTAGGCAAATATTAGTCATGCACTAATATGGCCATGTGGCAAATGCATTACCAGTGTTGAAATGGAGCCATGTAGAACGTTTTGGCCTATATCCAAAATGTGGTGGAAAACTAACACCGCTCATCACTCTACTACGCCATCCTAGGTGTGAAACCTGGTGATGGCAGTATCATGCTGTGGGGTTGTTTTTCTTTGGCAGGTAAGAGTTAATGGGAAAGATTAATGGAGCAAAATACAGAGGAGTCTTTGATGAAAAGCAGTTGAATACTTTTTTCAAGGCACTATAGGAGTTCACAATGTTAACAGAGACCTGAAAAACGAATTGTTTGTTTTTGGTTTCTGTTTCAATGACGGTGAACAAACTGCTTTCTCTGTAGAAATGTTTTCACTCTGTTTTCCTGGTGTTTTTTTGTTGTTATCATTAAGAATATCGCTTCCAACAACTTAGAATCTGTAGCTTTCTGTCACAGTTTTTGGCTTTAGCTACACAACAGTGCCGCTAGGGCTGGGATAAACTATTAATCTAGCGATTATTTTTTTGGACTCATCGATTAATCTAACCATTTTTTCAGTTCGATCCGAATTCGATTATCTCCCCATTAATTAATATCAATGTATACATTGGGTGTTGTGTGTTGATTTACATATCTGAATGAAAAAACATGAATTCCTTAACAAAATATAATTATTGCTCTTAAAATTCAGAAACAAGACATTCTTAGTCAAAGGTAGCATAAAATCTTGAAGCTTTGAAAACACATCTAGCACATCTAGAAAAAGTGCATCTTATTATTCTTTCAGATGAAAATAACACTTGATGTTTAGCATTCAATAAAGTTCACCCAAAATACTAAAAGGGCTTTTCTAGCAAAACATAATGAAGATAAACATTTAGAATTCAACAGTTATGTTGAACATAGGCCTAGCTGACTTAAAGCTGCACTGACTGACTTTATTTTCGTATTCATTACGAAAATGCTATCCATGTCCATGCAGTGCATTGGGATATTCGTCCTTTTGAAGAAAAAGTAGCGCAGATTTGAGCTGGCGTGACATTATATTTTAGATTGAGTTCTCATGAAACAAGGAAGAGAATGTGTTTCGGGTTGCAGATTGTGACCAATCACAGCGGACCACTAGCCCCCACTTTCGTAAGAAATCTACAGGCCCGTTAGCACAGACAGCTGAGTTAGCACAACAAGCGGCGGAGCTAACCTGAAACTTCCTCATCTTTGTCACCGGTTACTGCTTACACAGTGAAACAGCCATCCAAAAGAAAATCTCGTTCCTCCGCGCTTCCCGGTTCTATCATTCTATGGTCACGCCATCCACGTGCAAATCCATATCCATGTATTATCCATATTGGGAGGCGCTAGCTCCATAAACAGTGGATGTGTGTGGGGGGGCGATAGCTTTGTGGGTGCGGGGAGGGGAGCAGAAAGAGCAAGTCCGGTGCTTCAAAATCCCAAACTCAGTTAGTGCAGCTTTAAAAAAACATCTTCATTCACAAATAACTTACTCTGACACTTTCCTTTCCCCTTAAGAAAACTGTCTCTCTGTGTGTGTGTGCTTGTGAACATTCCCACAGCCAGTGTTGTCATTCTCCAGGGACTAAACTAGCACAGCTAGCATGTAGCGCATGTAGCATGTTCGCCGATGCGGAAGATGCAGTCTAATAATTAAATAAACTGATGGTGCACCTCTGTGAACACAAATTGCTGTTATATAAAGTCTCTGGAAAGTCTCTGGACACAGAGCCGCTGCAGTATTGGAGAAGAAGAACTTTACACAAAAATCTGCTAGCTTAATGCAGCTAGCTAAACGCCGCTAGCCCAGGACCACTGGTCTGAACATCCCATGCCTCTGTAATTTAGAAAATGTGCGTCTACTGCGCAGTCTGAACGCCCCATAAGACTGCACTCGCGTACTACTGCTACTACTCGCTGCCATCTTTGTTTTGAGTATGACGAACCGATACGCATATTTTGTATCGACGTATTTTTTGCCTCAACGTCATCGATTACGTCGGTGCGTTGTCCCAGCCCTAAGTGCCGCACATGATGGGCTCATTGTTTGCTGGGGAGTTGATATCTGAGAATTGGATTGAGCTCTAATATTCTTCTGAAAATAATCTGGACTTTGTCCTAAAAGCATCCCAAACTGGCCTCAAGTGTAACAAAGTTTGTTTTTATATCATGGCATCAATGAATTTGTAAAGTATGTGGGGGCTCTTTTTACAGGAGGAAAGCATCCCCATTGCACTGTCAGGACGTGATATTTTAGCCAGAGCCAAAAACGGCACAGGGAAGAGTGGAGCCTACCTCATTCCCTTACTTGAACGCATTGATCTGAAGCGGGACTGCATACAAGGTAAGAATGTTTAAAATATGAAAAAGGGTTATGCTTCTGTCCTGTTTGAATGCGTGGGTTAAGCAGATAATATTTCCTGTTTCTTTCAGCATTTGTCATAGTGCCCACAAGAGAACTGGCTCTGCAAGTGAGCCAAATATGTATCCAGGTCAGCAAACATATGGGTGGAGTGAAGGTGATGGCAACAACAGGTGGCACAAACCTCCGTGATGACATCATGAGGCTCGATGAGACAGGTGACTGTCTCAATCACATTATTTTGCCTAGTGTAAAGGCAACTGACCTGTTTGGCCAAAAGCAGACATTGAACTGTTTTTTGTTTTTATTGGATTTCATATCATATAAAAACAATCAATTTTAGCAGGATAAACAATTACCACGAGATTTGTTAAATTGCACTCTTTTCCCAGTACATGTGGTTATTGCCACTCCAGGACGAATCTTGGACCTCATCAAGAAAGGAGTGGCCAAGGTCAATCAAGTGCAGATGACTGTGCTGGATGAAGTGAGTTTTATTTTGTTCACCATGTCTCTTGTTTTGATAGATTGCAATTCATATTGTATTTCTACCACACAGGCAGACAAACTGTTGTCACAGGACTTTGTGGTAATGATGGAAGATCTCCTCAGCTTTCTACCCAAACAAAGACAGATCTTACTATATTCTGCTACTTTCCCCCTCAGTGTGCAGAAGTTCATGGTATGTCCATTAAAACATAAGACATTTGAAGTTCAGATGTTTTTTGTAACTGCAATTCTTCGTTGCAGAGTTCACATTTACAGAAACCCTACGAGATCAACCTCATGGAGGAGCTCACCCTGAAGGGAGTGACCCAGTATTACGCCTATGTTACCGAACGGCAAAAGGTCCACTGCCTCAACACCTTGTTTTCCAGGGTAACTTTTTATCCTTTATTTTTCTTTCAAATTGTACATTTGTTTGTATAAGAGACTAATCTTTGTATTTATTTCCCCAGCTTCAGATCAACCAGTCTATAATCTTCTGCAATTCCTCTCAAAGAGTTGAGCTGCTTGCCAAGAAAATTTCTCAACTGGGCTATTCATGTTTCTACATTCATGCTAAAATGAGACAGGTTGGTACAATATTTATATTGTAATACATCAAGGATTATTTGGTTAGCGTGATTTTCTCAATCCCAGTTTCTCCCCCCACATTTCAGGAGCACCGCAACCGTGTTTTCCATGACTTCAGAAATGGCCTGTGCCGTAATCTTGTGTGCACTGGTGAGTCGTAGTATAACTGTATTCTGTAGCAATTCTGATTATGTCAGTCGTATGTATTAACGTTTGTGTACATTTCCACTAGATCTCTTCACTAGGGGTATTGACATTCAGGCTGTGAATGTTGTCATTAACTTTGACTTTCCAAAGCTGGGAGAAACATATTTGCATCGTATTGGACGATCTGGTAAGACTCTACCTCTTGTGGGGAAGAGGGGGGGGGACTTTTTTTCCTAATAGTAAGATAAGAGATCCTTCATTCGTCCCACGGTGGGGAAATTTCATTGTTGCAGCGCACATAAAGGACCGTAGTTGGAGCACACAGTGAGCACACAAAATATACAAAATAAGTGAGTAGCTGCTATGTTTCTTAGCTAGCAGTAAATGCTTCAAAACCAGTCTTTCAAAAATATAAATAAAATGTATATATATTATATATAAGGGATGCACGATAAGCGACAGTAGCTCAGTTGGTAGAGCATTGGCCTTTAAGCCTGAAGGTCGTGGGTTCGAGCCCACCGTAAGACCTACTTCACGACTCCCACTGTTGACTGCTGTCGTTGTGTCCTTAGGCAAGACACTTAACCCCACTTTGCCTGAAGCTCCCACTGAAAGATCTCAGCTTCTGTGGACTCACCACCTGCTGGAGGATCAGTGAGGGGCTGGTGCTCTGTGTACTGGGTGCAGCTCTGACTGCCACCCCCCCGACCCAGAAATGGATTAAGGGGAAGAAAATGGACGGATGGATGGATGCACGATAATGCAAATTTCAACAGCTATTGATACTCCATTATTTTATTTCTACCGATAATGTCAGCCGATAAGTCTTTGCCTAATTGACCATAGTTTTAAATACAAACACATCTCCTGGTTTAATTTTGACCCATACATTTAACAAGAATCACTTTGTAGAGCAAAAAGTTGTAATTTATTAATTTATATTCTTGCTTTGACGGCTTAAACAGTGCAAAATATAAAAAAATGAAGCCAATAGAAATAGGCCCATAACATTAGCAACGAGTTACATGACTTGAAAAATAATGTTCTCTGACAGTAAAATTTAGTGCAAAAATGCCTGTGTCTAAAAAAATAATACATTTTCCCAATGGTGAATTTTAACGTGGTTTATCAGTTTTGTAGTGTTGAAGCTCGTCAACTTTTTCCCCCCTCGTGGAATTTCTGCAGAAAACGTTTTGCAAACTGCGAGTGAACTGTCTTGGTCAGACACTGTAAAGAATGCCCACGCTATAATAGATCCATGCAGCCACAGCATGATGCAGTTTCTTTGTAAACAACACCAAGCGCTCAGTTTGGTGCCGCAACAAATATGCGACATTTCCTTACGGGAGTGGAGGGGGTTGAGGCGAGAGCCATCAGTGCCAGCCTCTTCAGACAGTTCAGAGGCAAAACGGAGATAATGTCTTTACTCTTATCGGCTTATTTTATCGGTTGATTTCTTACTATCGGACTTATCTGTAGGACGTCATAATTGCAGATAATTATCGGGCACCGATATTCTCGTGCATCCCTACTATATGTATTAGTGCAGAGTTATATACTGTACATATAGGGCAGGATAATAAGTAGATAAAGTAAAGTGACATTGTTCAGTTGACATTCTGAAGTTGCAGTATTGCACATTGCACATGATTGCAGTATTTCCTTATTTACAGGCTCAGCAGTTCTCATTGTACAGTCTGACAGCAGCAAGAAGGAAATATTGAACTTTATTTATTTTTAGGACGCTTTGGACACCTTGGTCTTGCCATCAATTTGATCACTTACGACGATCGCTTCAACCTGAAGGGCATAGAAGAGCAACTTGGGACCGAAATCAAACCTATCCCCGGAATCATCGACAAGAGCCTTTATGTGGCTGAATACCACAGCGAAAGTCACGAAGACGCCAAGCCATGAGCAGTGAGTCCCTCCTGCAGAAGTCATACACACACTCAAAACAGCTTTTTAAAATACCTTATTTTCTCTTCCGCAGACCAGCCCTCTCTCCTTTCCCCTTTGCCCCTTTCCTGCCCCCCTCAAATGTACAGTTTTTTTTTTTTTTTTTTTTGTGTTCTGGATGCCACCACAAGGAATGTGTTTGGAGTGGATTTATTCTGGAAGAACTCATTTGCCTTGTAAGGCCCTGTGCTGCAGTGTCATATTGAAGACAAACACTCGAAGAGGAAAGCTTTGGACGAAGTTGAGATGTGCACATTTGTGAATCCTATCCATCAGTGACATTAAGCCAGCACCCACAAACTCCCTGACCATGCCCTGTCACCTTATTTTATTTTTTAGAAAATTCAAACCAGTTTGTATCAAGTGCCTTAACAAGCTGTTCAACTTCTAAAATAATCTTCATTCTCTTTCACTTCACACACTGCTCACCTAATGAAGAAATGGTCACACTCCTGTTGCTTGACCAGAGGTGAATGCATAACGTCTATGGCACCATTTTCCAAGCAGGGAGGTCTGTTGGAGTTCTTTGGTTTTCTGCTGGCTACGATGCACATTATTGCTTATTATTGAGGATGAACAAACTTGGATTCATTTGAGCAAACACTGGGTTTTTCAGAGACACTGTCCAAATGCTGTCAGGTGCCCTGATCCTTTCCTCTTCACAATGGAACTCTAAAGATGAACCACTGCAGCGCCTCAACAACACGACATGAGGATTCCTAATGGAGAATATTAGGGGAGCGTTTAAGCCCACCGTCACTTCCAGTGGATGGACACACATGCTGCCTAAATGAGCAACATGTTTCACTTTGTGTATATACTTTCATTTTAGATTGTTTTAAACAAGTAAATAAGGCTGGCTGATAAACTGATAAAACCACATACTTGTCAACACTGGATATCTTTTGCAGTTTTCCTTTTACAAATGTGACTTCTAAATTTCAAAACATCCGTAGAGATGATAATCTAGGACTGCATGAAATGTGTTGGACGATTTACAAAGAGCCTTCGCCATAGAAGGTGAGAATGATTATTTTAGCTGCACTTAAATCATCGACTTGTCTTGATGCCAGTGTTGACAAGTATTGTTTGTGAACAGATGGCTTTTTAAAGCTTGTGCATATGTTTTAATTCTCTATTGTCACCAGCCTTAACTTGTAAAACTGGAGACCACTGCTAACATCTAGGTCTTGGAACGGCCAATGATTATTGACTTGGTATTAGTGCAAGTGCTGCAGTGCAGCTAAATTTGATAAATCTGTAATTTGGGGAAGCTACTTTACTGTTACGTTAATTTTGGCTTTTGACACAGCTCATCATTAAGGATTAGAAAGGAGATGCTGTGTTTAACCCCCTCAAAAAGAAGCATCTGAAATCAAAATTGCATTTAAATGTAGCAGCACGTGTGTCACAGCTCCACATGATGCTTCGGTCTGACTGGCTGCTGTTAATAGAAATATTAGGTTTTTGGCAATAATTAATTGCACTGCTTGTGCATTTTGTACACTTCTGAAGATTTTTATTTTTTAGAATTGACTAAAGGGGAAATGTTGGAGCAAACATTTGGTCTGGCTAGTGATTTTACACATGGGGAACTACACATGCTGCTTATTTTCCCTCCCCTGTAATTGAGTTGTTGCAATTTGAGGTATTTTCTTTTGATATAGTGCAATTTCCTTGTGATGGTGAGATGCTTTAGACTCTAATCAGTGAGACTTATGATTATTTAATTTAAGATTGTACCCCTTAACTCTCATTGGTTAGAACAAATCCCTGGTCTTATTACTGAAGTCTGTCAGTGATATTTTGCACAAAGTGGATTTGGGGGAATTCGGGGGGAGGCGGGTGTCCAGAACAGTTCAAATTTGTGCACAGTGTGAGAGCAGGGATTTTTTCTCTTAATCAGACCCGTGGCAGCGGTCTGTTCGCTGACAGCCTCTGACGGGACAGACTAAAGCTTGTGAACATCAGGAGGCGTCAGATTGTGTCTCGTCACAGGCTGCCTGTGAAATCCTTAAAGACTGAGACAAGAGCATCTTTCCTTGAATTGACTACATAATGACAAATTGTAAAAAAATTGTCTCATTCATTAAGGAATTTAAAAACTTGGGATTGGTAATTTGGTGCTGTTGCTGCCCTGATGCAGTCGACAAATCTGGTTAAAAATGTTAGAAACACATTTGTGTGAATCTGGCTCCAAATACCTTCTCACGGCGACTGCATCAGTTTTCGGGTGGGAACCTTTGGGCATTGCGTAACTACCAAAAATGTAGGATGAGATTGAATTTGTCACCATAATGCCCTCAGGCTTGGATTTTCTGTTTCACACAAAGTTCAAATGGATTTCATCTTGTTAAAAATTGTGACTTTAAATTTGGCAAGAATTTTGTTTTATTACAATTTGGTCTAATTGGCAGTTTCAGTCGAGCTGAATTTTATTGGCATTTGAGTTGAACAGCAAAAAAAAAAATTGAGATGTTCTGTTGAAAATAAAAGCTCACTGAAATCTATGCCTGATTTATTCTCTTGTACAGACGTTCATCTGTGTTGACACAAGGTGGTGCTGTTATCGACGTTCTGCTGCATTCAGTCTGTTTCCCAAAGCTTAAAGCCCAATACATCAAACTCAAACTTGTGGACCCTTGAGTTAATAAGGGAAAGTTAAGTTCTGAAGGCTCTGTAGTGTTGGCCTCAGCTATCTGGTAAGCAGCTCTGCACTGAGCATAATTGCTGCTTTCTGAACCTCTAATTGATTTGAAGACTACAATGACCACCTTTTGATCAGTGTCAATGTGCCAATACACAAATGTATTTTTATTGACAAAATGCATGTTAGAAAGAACTAAATTAATTACATATCAACAATTGAGTGGCAGGTCATATATAAGTAAAAACATGAAGACAAGAAATGTCCCATTAATTATAGTACTGCATCTTAAATTAGTGAAAATGCTAGAATAATCTTCCAAATCTTTCCCATTTAATCTATGTGTACATACTTTGGAGAAAGTATTTTTAAATTCAATTCTTTTATTTGTATAGCTAAATCACAACAGCAGTCATCTCGGAGGACTTTAAAAAGTTATTGATTCGGCAAAACAGGAGAATCGAATGGTTCAAACACACGGAGTGCAATAAGAAGCACATTGGATAAGAATATATTAAACCTGATAAATTCCACAGTGGGGAGATGATCAATGCATACAAAGAGCTATGTCTGGTGGCTTTGCCAATAATGGACAAGGAGGTCCAGATGACGTGCAAGCTTTGTCACGCCCAGATCAGAAACGGCAGGTACATGCGGCTAACCTCGGCTTCAGCAACAGATCTAGAGCACAATGTACTTTTGGAGAGTCCTTTTGTGTCTCTCAGTTTTGCTTGTTTCCTCTGAAAATGTTGTTCTGCCTCCACCGTGTGACAGGTAAGACCCCGGGTTTGGTTAATCAATGTAAATTGGAATATACAAAAATCACCATTTAAACATATCTATTTCCCTGGCTATATACAGTATGCATTGATTTAATTTGAGTGTAAATAATACATGTTTTTTGTGCTAAATATACTATAAAGCAAGTCTTCATTCAGATCGTTAGCTCTGCATGGACCTTGCACTTGTTATTATGGTCTGTTTGTTTGCTTATGCTGTATAATAATTTACATCAATTGCAGTGAGATTTACTGCTCTGGGCCCATCCTGGATCAGATCCAGAGAGCCAAACTGTACGAGGATGACAAATACTTTGTTGACATGAAGCTAAAGGTTTCCCCCGGTAGGTCAATGTTAAAACTCATTTCCTTTGGATCCCTACAGACTTGTTGATGTTTTTCTGCAGATATTATTTCATCCGCATTTCAGAACCTATCGAATGTATTCCCGGTAGTCCCCCGGGAAAAACTGCAGGAGTTCATTAATATGTATTTTGAGAAGCCAGGATCAGAATTTGAAACATGGACTCCACCAGACTGGCACAACAAGTAAGAAAAAATATATGCAACAAATATATTCACATTTTACTTTTCAAAATGATTCCCTAGATACAAGGTAAAGATCTATTTATAGCATTACTCATAACTGTAATGTGTTGTATTCTTGGTCTATGTTAGCATCTTTGGCAGCCAGTTGAATATACTTCAAAATCATATCTTTTCACAGACCAGAATTTTTAAACAAGATAAATGACAAACAACTGCGTGAATGGGCTTTTAAAATCCACCAACTCTGGAAACAACTTGGCAAAAAGGTGACGTTTTTACCTCCTTTGCATTTTAGCAAACAGTAGTCAGGAGTCAAACTATTCGAATGGTTATTTTTTATTATTATTATAATTAATTATTATTTTATCCTATTTTATTTTTGTGACATTTATAGAAACAGCATACAAACCCACATAAACACACAAACACTTGCAGGTCCAGAGCAGAAAATGAATTAAGAAACAAATCTTAAAAAAAAGGAAAATAAAAAAGATTTTGAAGGGTATTTACTTTCTTTATATTTTCTTTTTGTAATGTAATTGTACAGATTCGGGATGACGTGAGAGAGCAGCCACAGCTCTATTCGCAGATATACACGCCGTATCCGGTGGTGGTGCCGGGAGGGCGCTTCAGGGAGCTGTACTACTGGTGAGGGAGTCAGAGGCCACAAGTATTTTCTGTCAGAAAGCGTAACCTGTAGCTCCTCCTCAGGGACTCCTACTGGGTCATCAACGGACTGCTGCTCTCGGAGATGACAGACACGGCCAAAGGGATGATCCAAAACTTCCTCTACCTCATTGAAAAGTTTGTATTCTCCAAGGTGGTAATTCCCATGTTTGTTAAAGGACTTTTATGTGTGTATTGCAGGCCTTGTTAATCAAACCAGATGTTAAACCGAAAGTCAAATGGTGTGTTCAATGTTCCTGGTTTAGTTCTATGTGACATTTTAAATGTTTTTGTTTGTTAAAGGGGATATTACCTGATTATGGTAATCTATGATCTGCGTGGCTCTTTATTAAATATATTGTTATGAAATTAATGATTAGATTAGATGTTTATAGATGTAATAGAAGAAACGAGTGGCGTAGCTGTATGATGTAATTGTACCACTATGACATCACACTCAGACCAGTGTTCTGCCTTTTAACACAAAAAGCATTGCGTACATTAGTTTTTGGCAATTTCACTGGTAAAATGTTGTTCTGTGTAATCACATGGTGTTTTCAGACAGACCAACCCAAAAAAACAAATCCTCTGAGGAGCATAGGGGGTTAGAGGCTGAAAGCATTTTCTTCATACTTGTTATTTCACGTTCTGAAAGAAGAAATGACAGCATAAATGGTCTCATTATCATGTTGAATGGACGAATAAAAGTTCTTCAAAGGCGAATTTGGTGTTCACTCAAACTGGAGCAATTAACAGTCCAAATAAAGTCACAGATCCATTTAAAAAGACGTGACTTGGCTTGGTCCTTATGTGATTACGGGACCAGTATGCACTTAAAAATGTGAATTCTATCCTGTGTGCATTGTATGTGGTAAACTAAACAAGGTAAGAAATACATTCAGAGCATTTTATTAGGACACCTTTTGTTACTTAGTCAGATAATAGCTACTTTTGTGTCTGGCTAATGACGTCCACCATAGATTTATATTTTGATGCAACAATCATTAGTCCTGCTGCCCTCGACTTCCACCGCTGACTGCTGCATACTGCTGCTGCTGCTGCATACTGCTGCTGCTGCTGCATACTGCTGCTGCTGCTGCTGCTGCTGTTGCATACTGCTGCTGCTGCTGCATACTGCTGCTGCTGCTGCTGCTGCATACTGCTGCTGCTGCTGCTGCTGCATACTGCTGCTGCATACTGCTGCTGCATACTGCTGCTGCTGCTGCTGCTGCTGCTGTTGCATACTGCTGCTGCTGCTGCATACTGCTGCTGCTGCTGCTGCTGCATACTGCTGCTGCATACTGCTGCTGCTGCTGCATACTGCTGCTGCTGCTGCTGTGTTACCTTCATAGTAACTGCAGGTTGCAGATGAACAAACAAACAGATAAAAAACAGTGATTTAAAAATGGGTTCATTAAAAAAAAAAAGATTCACAGCGTTCTACAGGCACTGAAACCATCTGCTTTTCACAGATTTTGAAAATTCGAAAACTTTGAACTGTTTGTTTCTCTGATCTGCTGTTGAGGAATTTCCAACACTGTAAAGTCTTTTGAGACGACTGCTGTTGTGACAAAATAATGATATAATATTAATAATTTGAATTGAATTGACCTGAGGAACCAGGCAGAAGCACGGAGTAGAGCAGAAAGTAAAAATGTCAACAAATTATTATATTATTATGAAAGGCTGACAACTTGTTTGGGGCTGAGGGGTAGTGACCACAAGGACTACATGGAATTTTAGAATGATGTTGAAACTTGGGTTTAGATAAATAGTTAGCCACTATTGAGTCCTCAATCTCTTTATATTTAGATTCATTAAACTCCTATGTGGATGTCGAATGGGGAATTTTACTTTACTGAACCGGCTCACGTCTCAGCTTCACGAGAATGATTTACTCAAACATTAATAATAACTTTGAGCGTGTACGCGATGAGGGAAAACAGCTAAAACATGGTCCAAAGCTGTGAAAAATCTATGTCCCCTTTAAACCGTCTCCAAAATGATTTACAAAAGTCTGGCTGAGAGTGCGGCGGCATATTTGTTTTAAACGCAGAGTCATTTGCAGCCCACGCCATTCGCTTGTGAAATGTTCTGAGGGGAGTGTCAGGATTTAAAGAGTCACAGATCTTCTCTCTCCTGCAGATATGGCAGCGTTCCAAACGGTGGGCGGATTTACTACGAGCGCCGCAGTCAGCCCCCCTTCCTCACTCTGATGGTGGAGAGCTACTACAGGGCCACTGAGGATAAAGAGTTCCTCAGGTAACGTCGAGGCGTGTGCTCACATCCCGTCACACTCTCTCAAAATACCACCGTCGAAAGTCGAGAGCCTAAAGTAAAAAATGTCAACAAAATATTATATCATTATTATGAAAAACTGACTATTTGTTTGGGGCTGAGGATTAATGACAACAAGGCCGACATGTGATGTTAGATTATGTTTTTGAAACCTGGGATTAAAAATAAAACCAATTCATTTATTTGCCATTTGCAGTAAAACCACATTGGAATACATTTGCAAAAGTCCCCAGTGTGCACGAGACAAGTACATGAATAAAACAACATTAAAAGTACGGAAATAAAACAGTCCAAACAGTAAACAATTGACGCTGTGAAATCGATCGACTAAAAGAGTTTCAATACAAGTGCAAGATCTTTAAAAAGCTTTGTTCAAACGAAAAGAAGCTGTTAGCATATTGAGATGTCCTCCATCTCATGATATCTTAGATAGATAGATAGATACTTTATTGATCCCAAACTAAATTGTGGATTGGTCCCTTGCTCGCAATCATACAAACACACAAACATAGGATAGAGTTAAAAGATAAAAACATAATTAAAAATGTCAATAAAATACATTAAAATAATTCAAATCATTAAAAGAGAGAAGTTAAGGCACTGCAAGACAATTCTCAAGACCTCTCCCTCCCTGCTCCTCCTCATCCCTCCTTCCCCCTGCTCCTCCCTGAAGTGGCTTTGTTAAAGAGCCTGATGGCGTTGGGGCCAAGGGAGTTTTGGAGCCTGTCCTTGTCCCATCTTCTGCCAGAGAGAAGAAGCTGGAACATGGCTTTTCCAGGGTGGCCTGAAGAATCATTGATTATTCTAAGAGCTCTGTTTAAGAGTCTGGATTTGTAAAGAACCTCCAGAACAGGAAGCTCACAGCTCACAGTCCTCTTAGCAGAATGGAGCACCTTGTTTAGATCTCTAATTTTTTTGTCTGTGATGTCACCAACTCACACAGTCACGGAACCAACAAGCAAATAATAATAATGATAATATTCATAGTTATAGTCACCAACGCTTCTGCCTGTCCTCTGTCCTGTTCGGAGAGGACTTCTGTGGCTGCAGGGACGTGGCTATTTTCAGACACTGTTTCACATTAGCTTAACTCCAACGTGCCACATTGCGTCACTTGATTGTGGCTTGATGAAAGGTCACGGTGACCTCGAATCGTTTTGGCTGTAGTCACAAAGCCGGAGTCACTAATGGGTTAAACTGATGAAGAGCTGGCATTTATCTGAAAGGTCAGTCGCATTTACTGCACTGTACTAGAACAGCTCTGACCATTATGCAAAAAGCAAACTTTTCAGCGGGGATCAAACTTTTTTTAATTCTTGTTATTTTCTGGTTATGCCATTAAGGCGGTATGAATGGGTTTAAGAACGTGCTTTAAAAAGTCAACCTTCAGTCAGAGTTTTTCAAGCTCTTATGAACAGTGGGGCGGCCGCGACTCTGAAATGCCAAAATGTTGTCGTAAAGTGGCAAACTATAACTTCGGATTAGTAGCTTCACTTTTGTCAATCTGCACCAATATACAGTGTAAAAAAGCACTGTTAAAACCGATGCATTATTATTCATGACCTTAATTTTAACTACGGAAATCATAATAAAAATAATGTTGAATTCGTTAAAAGTGAATTTTCTGTCTGCTGATTCATACATCTTACATTCAACATATTGCGTCAAAAACGTTCCTTCAAAAACAAGATATTAACTTGACTAGAAAAGCACTTGTAGAGCACAGACCTCTGCCAAGAAGAAGATATTTTCCTTTCCTGGCTCCAGACTATGATCTTGATTACCTTCAAAACCATCTCTCTTCCATTCCAAAGCTTTACGGAACATTTAGTTGTATTCTGTCATTATATCCTGTTCGTAATAATGTGAGTTATGTTATTAATAATGCATCGGTTTTATATAGCGCTTTTTTTAACACTCAAAGACGCTTTACATGTCATTATTCTTTCACTCCATACACGGTGGTGATGAACTACAGTACTTCTGTAGCCACAGCTGCCCTGGGGCACACTGACAGAAGCGAGGCAACCAGTATGTGCCATCGGCCCCTCCGACCACCACCAACCATTCACACACACCAGACTCATTCTAGGCAATGGGGTGAAGTGTCTTGCCTAAGGACACAGTTTGGCACTTTACAGCCGCAGCCGCACCACTGTGGCATCACGTGTTCCCAGAGGTTAAGTGTCTTGCCAAGGACACAACAACAGCAATCATGAGTGGGAGTCGGTGGAGAAAGTCTTGTGGTGGGCTCGAACCCATGACCTTCAGGCTCAAAGGCCAATGCTCTACCAACTGAGCCACTGTCGCCTTATGTTGCTAACGAATTGATAACAAACAAAGCTTCTTGGAGGCAATAATGTTAAATATCTCTCTTTGCTGTAGTCTGTGTTTCTTTCTTTGGCCCACATCCAGAGCTGCTGTACCCAGACTGGATCAGGAGTACAGGTTCTGGATGCAGAATCGCTCGGCCTCGGTGAGCGTGAATGGCAGCGTGCACAGGCTGAACAGGTTTGATGTCCAGGTGGGATTGCCAAGGTGCGTCAAATGAGCCAAAGCGTAATCAGAAAATGAATGAAAAATTGTAAACGTGTTTGTCCATGTCATTTATTCCAGGCCTGAATCCTACACGGATGATCTGGAGCTGGCTGAAGGACTCTCGGATGGTAGTGATTAATTGGAAATTGATTACAACCCTTTCATGGTCTTTGTGGACCGTTTGGAGATGAATACATTTGCAGATAAATAGCTGCATATAGTTTAAGATGTATTATTATTATTGACCCTTTTCAACTTTATCGACACACACAGACAAGGCTTTTCTCAGTTCCGTTTGCCTGTTCTCTCTTTGCCTTCGTAGTTTTTCTTCTGGGTGCTCTGGTTTCCTTGGTTTCCTCCAGGTGCTCCGGTTTCCCCTTCCACTAAAAAAAGCCAAACACATACACTAGGTCCGGCATGCGTGTGCTCGGATGGCGATCCCGCTTCCCTCGCTGTGTGGAGTGAAAGGAAAAATGCCTACAACACTTTTACAAACAGTAATTCTGTCCCTGGAAGGCGCTAAATAATAAAAAAAAGAATTTACTTGCTTACACTTTATTAATGGAGACTTCTTTACGCTCGCCCATCTGAATGTTGTTGTTTTGCTTGCAATGTGGCATTAAACATACTATATTAAAACAAGAGACTCCACAAAGCATACTTAGTTACAAGTCAATGTAACTAAGAATTCAGGTTTTGAGTAGTACAAACATAAATTAATTAATGTAAGTAAGTAAGTTTTTATTTATATACCGCCTTTTCACTGCAGATCTGAGTCTCAAAGCAGTTTACAATTGTTAATTTTTGGGCATTTGTCTCTCACTCCACACAGAGATGGGAGCCGGGTCGCCAGTACAGGAGGCGCATGCCAGAACTATTGGACATGTTTTTAGTGGTAGGGGAAACCGGAGTACCCGGAGGAAACCTACGCAGACACGGGGAGAACATGCAAACTCCACTCAGAAAGGCCCTGGTCCGACCGGGATTCGAACCCAGGACCTTCTTTCTGAGAGGCGAGAGTGCTATCCACTCAGCCACCGTGCCGCATGTAAAAGTTATATATCATACTGGGGTACATTCTAAGCAAAGTAATAACATCTCCATGGCACAAGCAGGTAGACTCCATCAGAAAAGTTCCAAATTTAAGGCACTAGTTCTAAAGATGACTTCCAAAAACAAAGGGAAAAGCAATAATATCTGGGGTACCTAACTTTAAAGCACAAAAAAATTCAAGTACCGTATTAAAATCCATCTAAAAACATTTATTTTTCTATCCCCAATTTTCACATGCATTTAAAAAAGAGAAGAATCAAAAGAAAAAGAGAAGAATGCCAAAGAATCAAATAGTGACTCACAGGGTTTGCCCAAGATTACATGTTTTGTATATATTCTGTTGGGACAAACACCATGCATTATATATGAAACCAAAAAATTAGGTACCTCAGCTTTAACGCATGGTAGATTCCCGATCAGATGCAGCCAAACATGTACAGTGACTCATGCAAAACCAACCCACTTGTTTGTATACAGTGCATGTTTTTCACTCATAAATCACATATATTTAGTCATTAGGATTGTAAATAACTGATTGATTGTGATTCTCGATGCTCAGACTCGAAGCAGCAGTTGTGGATGGACCTGAAGGCGGGTGCAGAGTCTGGCTGGGACTTCTCTGCCCGCTGGTACGTGAACAGCAGTGGCCAGAACTCAGGCACTCTCCGAGACACCCGCACCAGCCAGATCCTGCCCTCTGACCTCAACGCCCTGCTGTGTCGGACCGAGAAGACGCTGGCCTCTTTTCACCGACTCCTGGGTGAGTGCTCAGAGAGTGCTAACCCGAGCCCACTCACACCTGGGCTTGAAAGTTTTACCCAGTCGACGGTGTTGTTGTTGTTGTTGTTGTTGTTTTGGCCATATTTCAGAGAGTCACTCCTTGCAAGTGCTTGTGTGAAGCCATGTATTATCAAATCCTTTTCAAATTACAGTATAACATTGTTTTGCTCCTCTGAGGAGTTCTAAAACGTCCAGGAATTTACATAATATTAGAATAAAAATTAAGGGTTGTTGTGGTGGTACAGTGGGTTCTGACCGCTCAGCAAAAAGGTCCTGGTTTAGATTCCTGGTCGGACTAGGGCCTTTCTGAGTGGAGTTTGCATGTTCTCCCCGTGGTTGCATAGGTTTCCTCTGGGTGCTCTGGTTTCCCCTTCCTCTAAAAACATGTGAAGGATGGGTGTCTTAACCTTAACCATAACATCACTTATTTATGACACACTATATGGGCAGCTTTACCATCAGAGAGGATGAAGAATCTTACCCAAAACTACCACACAAAACTCCAAGCTGCAATTGGGTAGTTTCTCTTGTTATAATCTATATTAAAAAATATTTTTACTCAGAAAATATGTTTATTTGACAAGAAATGGCTTCACACACCCACTTACAAAGACTGAAAATATGTCTTGACGGTATCATTCCATCATCTCGGAAATATTGCAAAAAGTATTGACATTTCAGCCTGGGTGTGTAAACCTTCAATACTGTCTTTCTTACATGAGGAGGAAATGTGCTTTTGAGACAGGTTCACAAGAGTCAGCAGTACTGTATGAGCAGGCGGCGGAAGAAAGACAGAGAGCCATGGATGCAGTGCTGTGGGATGACCAGCGGGGGGCGTGGTTTGATTATAACTTGCTGACAGGATCCAAACATTTAGGATTCTACCCCTCCAACCTGGCTCCTCTGTGGGCGCAGTGCTACTCTAATGAGGAGAGGGCACAAAGGGCTGTGCAGTATCTAAAGGTTGGTATGCAAATGTCTATTATTTGCACTCTGTCGAATATATCTCTATTTCTATTGTCTATGTTCAGCCTAGACGACCTAAAATCTTTCAACAGGGTATATTACACAACGCAAGTATATTTGTATTGCACAATCCTTACATAAGTGATTTATATTGTAATCATAAAACATCTTTAAAAAAACCTGTATTTGAAAACCTTTTTTATTGAATATTTTTTGTTGTTGTCTAACTTAATCATGAAGACTGCTCCGGATTTTAGCTGCATACATGTTAAATGCAGACTCCCAATGGTCAGCCCTAATGCTCTCTGAGATACTCTTTATGCAAATATTATGTTAAAGTCAGGGTACCTAACTTTAAACCACTAACCACGTAATTGTGTAATAAAATCCATCTTACCAGTTCCTCGCTCTCAAATCAGTTTGGTTTCATTGCTATTTATTTATTGCTCTTTACAGTATATGTGGTGTCTATCACATCCCATAGATCAGCTTTTTTCGGACAAAAAAATAGAGTGAAAGAAAAACAAGAGATGTGAAAAAGAGAGGACCAACCTTACTCAGCCAATCAGCTCTCAGCCCAAAGCGTCAAATAGCGAAGCAGAGACATTATTATGCAAAAGATAAAAAGGTTTTCTAATTAGATAAAGACAAAATTATGTTCAGAATTCTTCACATAAATTTACTTTCAGAAAGAAGACTAAACTCGGTCACCTCAGCTTTAAGTGTACTGTTATTTTCATAATTCATCATGTTGGGGACCTTTTTGTAAAACCTACAAAACCTGGAGCTCTGTTGTGCAGTCAGATGTACATTTCTCCCTGATGTTTTCATATCCACTAGAGGGCACACAAGTATCATGGGCCTTGCTCTGTTTATATGCATTACAGGGGAGTGGTGCTCTACACTTCCCAAATGGAGTTCCCACATCACTGAAGGAGTCTGGGCAGCAGTGGGACTATCCGAACGCCTGGCCTCCTCTACAGCATATGCTTATTGAGGGTGAGGGAAGACAAAGCCTGCATCTCTGTTCCTGTAGATCAGAACATTCCCGCAGATAGACAAAAGAAGCCTCATGCGATTTGTGTTTATTATTTATTAACCTTTATTTAACCAGGAAAAATCCCACTGAGATTGTATGGCCATGTGTTGCTTTCATGGAATCCTTCTCCCCAAATATGGAAATGCGGGGTAAATTAAATTATTTCAAACCACAACTGCAAAACTATTCCTGTTTAGCATTTGGCTCTTGTTCCAACACCCCCAGTCATCATCAAACGCTTGGTCCCTCTCCCTGAGATATCTGCCAGGCTCACAGCTGCTGCAGCCAGCTCCGCTCTCAGGCTTTCACTGCTGTTTCGCCTCCAGCCTGATCTATAGCAAATGAACACCGCATTTGGAATAAAGTCGACCGCATTTTTAGAGAAATGTATTTGGCAGCATGTTTGTATATTTGTTAGTGATGCAATTTTCATTTGACCGTAGATTCAACAAGTTGTTTTCCGGATAATTAATGGAATGGCACAATGGTATTTGGCTGTAAATAGAAAAAAAGTGTAATGCAATACTAACTTAGACTTTTTTGTTTAAAAAAAAAAACATCTTGTTGCTTCTTGAAAATAATAATCCAATAACCTAATGACCAATTAGAATACATCGTAGTGTGCATAATCTTTAAAATATACAGTATTTCCAGTAATGAAATAGCAAAGGAAAAATAATAGAAAGACAATTCTGAGCTCTTATTATGACACTCAAAGAAGCTTTGTTGTTGAGCCAATGTCCTCTGAGGTCTCCCATCACCGCACCAACCAGACCTAAACTGCTATGCTTTGGCGGTCAGACTTCATCAGGCTTTCACATGCAATTGTGGCTACATCAGGATAGTAGTTCCTGGTGAAAGTTATGCAACTTTCTACATTGGAGCCAAGAAAGGGACTTCACCCAATGGCAAATGTGAAGTGGATTGCATTAAAATCCAAAGACAAACCGCTGTAATTGAACATTCCAAGAAAATAATTAATACCTCCATGAAACAAATAAGCTTACGCCCCCATCAGAGAAGTCCCATGTTTATGAAGAGGTGAACTCATGGACCGTATACAGTCTGTGGGTGAACTGTAAATCTGTTTTGCCAGGACAGAAAGTTTATAATAATCCACCATCTTTAGACAACACTGAAACTATAAAAATCAAATGTTTTTCTTTAGGGATCATCATTTAATCTAAACTGATTCATCAGATTGAGAGAACATACTCAGGTCAATGTATTTCCTATGGTTCAATGGCGCAGACGTGTGCTTGTATTTCAGGTTTATCCAAGTTGCCTTCTGAAGATGCCAAACAAATTGCACAGGACTTGGCTCAGAAGTGGATCCGCACTAACTGGATGGCGTACACAAAATATGAAGCCATGTTTGAAAAGGTGAAAAAAACACACACTCTATGGCTAATTAAAATGCCAGAGTGCCTTTTATGACGACTAATACTTTCCTCTTTACTCAGTACGATGTGAATGGGGATGGCAAACCCGGAGGTGGAGGGGAATATGAAGTGCAGGTACTTGGCATGAGTTTTGTGTCTTAAACCTGTTTTTTTCCTCACGTTGTCAGGTGCACATACACTTTTCCTCGCTTTATTTGCATGCTAATGTAGAATCTTCCATTTCGTGTCGTCTCATTTCAAATAAGACCATTTGTTCATTTCTATGCTTGACTGACTTTGGATTCGACATTGTCTCTTTGGTACATATCCTCAATTACTTAGTTCGACCAGACTTGAATGCAGACTTTGTATTTGGTTACATGCTAATGCTCCTCTCCTTGTCAGTAAATTAGAATATTGCCAAAAATACTTTTCATTTAGTTCCATTCATATTGAATTTTGTATTATATGTTATGATTGTTTTGATAATAATAATAATAATAATAATAATAATAATAATGCATCAGCTTTGGTTTTGATTACTTAAGTGCTATACCTAAGTAACTTTTGTACGGTACAATACTTTCTACGGTACATGGAGGTGACAGTTCGTGCCATTAGCAATTTCGACCAGATTCAAGATGGAGCACCTGGTGAAAACCTCACCTACTTTTTTCTGTGCATATTAGCAAAGTAAACTATGGCGAGGCAAGGAAAGTTTATATTTTATAGCACAATTCATACACAAGGCAACTCAAAGTGCTGAACATAACAGATGGAAACAATCAAGGCACTACAATCATAAAAAATAATAATAAAATACCTGGATCTGACTAGTTTTGAGTCAGTGAAAAATGTGTATTTTAGTAATAAATAATATAAAAAAAATTTGAAAAAAAATACAATAAATAAATAAAACACATTAAATGAAATACAATAAATACATAAAATAAATACAAAATAAATAAAATATAAATAAAATAAACTAAAAAAAACATACACTAAACAATATCTGCTGAGAACCCCATGCTGTGTCAAAAGCCAGAGGATGAGGCGTGTCTTAAGAGGAGACTTAACTGTCAGAAGTCCCATTTGGACCATATCTGTTCTATAAAGGAGCTGCTTCGTAAGCCTCTCGGTGTCATTTCAGTGCTATTGTGCTCGCTCGCTTTGATCGGTGTGTTTGTGTGTCCAGTTGGGCTTTGGTTGGACTAACGGCGTGGCTCTTCAGCTGTTGGACCAGTTTGGATGCTGTCTGACCTCAGGCAACAGATGTACCGGCCCAGGCCTCCTCCTCCTCCTCTCACTCCTCCTCATGCTCCGCTAACTCCACGGTCTGCACAATGACAGGGAGCACACCTGGAGGCAGCGCTTTCTGTCCAGTTTTCAAAGCAGCACATCAGTCACTACAGCCCCTCTGCAGTGCCACAACATGGGTCACATGGGTCTGTTCTGCTATCTTCTGTATACTTATGTGACGTTTGGGATTTAATGTAAGGTTAAAGGGAGTGTATTATGAAAAGTGTAGTGTTCCCTCATTGTTATTTACACCTGAAACAATAAGAAGAAAATATACACGTTGTTCTTCAAGCTAGGGTCACTTTTAAACTACAAAATGCACTAAATACATAATAAAATCTATCCATTAGTTCACTGTTCTCAAAGGTTTTGCTCTATCACTAATTTTGCATACATGTATTTTTAGTATCTCTTACAGCTTCAGATCAGCTTTTTAAGACAGACAAAGGGGAAAACAGAGACCTCTTTCTACATGTATGTAAAAGATCACCTCTTGGCATCACTAACCATCACAATACGATTTGTTGAACAAGAGCCAGACCAATAGGCAAAGGGCTCGCTTGGCGAGATGAACATGGGTGGATCTACCATAAGATATTCTTGATTTTAGTTTTTGAAGATTTGCTGATGGGACAAGCATGAAATGTCAATAAGAAAATGACAATGACACTGATGTAAAAATAAAATATATTATAATGATACTAGTACTAATACTAATTATTAACTTCATTTTATGGAAACAGTTGAGGAAAATCAGTTCAGCAGGTTTGAACAGGAAGTTTCTGTTTCTGACATGAATCTGTTTTAGATCAATTTTACAGATTACATAGAAACTAAAACAAAGCACACGATCAACAAGTGGTTATGGCTTTGTTTCCTCCACTCTGAGGTTCATGTTTTCACCTAGCTTCGTTCATTTACATAGAATATTGTTTTTGGAGAGAGCACCGTTTGGATCCAACATTTTCTTAAAGCTGCATTAACTGACATGAAATGTTGGAATGTGAGCGGTGAACTCGCTGTTTTTGTATACGGAGCTCACGTCTCACAATATGGATCGCACATTTGAACGTGGATGGCGTGACCATAGAATGATAGAACCGGGAAGCACGGAGAGGACGAGACTTTCTTTTGGCTGTTTCGCTGAGTAAGCAGTAACCGGTAACGAAGACACGGGAAGCTTCAGTTTAGCCTCCGCCGCTTGTTTACCTCAGCTGTCTGTGCTAACGAGAGACCTGTGGCTTTTCTCAAGAAAGTGGGGGCCAGTGGTCCGCTGTGATTGGTTACAATCTGGTCCCGAAACATTCTCTTCCTTGTTTCATGAAAACTCGATCTAAAATATAACGACACGCCAGCTCAAATCTATGCTACTTTTTGTTCAAAAGGACGTAAATCCCAATGCACTGCATTGATATGGATTGCATTTTTGCAATGAATACAAAAATATAGTCCGGTAATGCAGGAATGGAAATGAGCCTCTTGGTGGAGGTCTGTGCTCTACAAGTGTGTTTCTATGTTTTTATGTTTCGTCTTCTATAATCCACAGTCAAAATTCTTTCATTTAATGAAATGAAGAAATCCAATTGCATTATTCTGTTGATAATAGGTTTTCATGCTTGAGTTGTGCTGCATATTTAATGTGGATTTGAAATGACCCAGGAACAGATACAGCGTATAATCATCCTCACCGTGTTATCAAATTCAAAACTACCAGCAATAGTTATCTAAACATTACTGAATTTGCTTTGGATTATTTGGACTATGAAAGCGAACGCAGAGATACCTTTCTGCAAAATAACTTTTCAGAACCTTGTATTTTCTAACTGTTACAAATGTTCAGATAAACATTTTCATTGTTATGATCAAATAACCATCAGGTGTCATCCCTGATCATCACACAATAGTTCAACCTGAATAATAACTACTCATTGCTATTGTTTTTAAAAGAAAACCTCAATAGTCAAAGACGAGGCTAAAATTTGAGAAGAGCCAAAGACAAAAAGTAATTTCGTCTGTACAGTTTCTGTTTGTGCTCCTACTGTATGTCAAAATCCAGGTCAAGCATGAAATTAAGTCCATACCGATATTCAAATGCTTGTCAGAAAAAGTAATGAGAGATTTGCCTTTCAGAGTAGAATTTGCATTCCTTGTGGTCGTGGTGGATGTACATTTCTAAGCAGGGATTTCACCGCATCTGCCTCTTTAGCTTGAGTGCGCACAGCAGATAGAGAGCGCTGCTTAAATGGGTAAAAGGCCAATGGGAGCAGTGGTCCATGGCGTCCCAAAGATCACCTCAGTAATGTGCTATTGTAAGCTCCATCTACATGTCATATCAGCCACACTGGTCCGTCCCAAACCACAGCGTGACACCAGCAGGCAGCAGCTGTGAGCGCGACATGTGTTTAGAAAGATTTAGCTGCACGCCACAGGATTGTGTTTGACCCTCAGACAGAGAGAACTCAAGCAGAGACGGCTTCAGATGATGCTCTCTGCTCCTGTGATGTACATGGAGTGTGTAGGTTCTGCTTCTTTCACGAGTGCAATACAGTAACACGTCTTTTGTACGGAACAAACGAGGCAGTTAAAGTGATTAACAAAACACAGCGTTTTTATAATCATGATACAAAACAATGAAAAACATAAATAATCATATTTCAATACATTTATGCTGAAAACAGACGGAGAAGAAGAGAGCAGCAAAGTCACTGGGGGTTCCGATCACTTCTTTCAGAACCCTTTCAGAACTTAGAAAGATAGTTCAAGCTTTACCTGCTTATACTGTATACTGTCAATGACGTCATTCACAGCACTACAGCTGTCAAAACATCAGATAATCATCGCTACATGACGTTTATGAACATGTATTCTTCATTGCTTGATTTGAGCTCTTTATCCAGCTCCTTTAGTGCCTCTGTGCTGAAGACTATAGTATTATGTACGTAGACAATGTCAGGGCATTGTAAAGTTTAAAATGATAGAGCCTGTCATTTCTGTCATTTATTCTGTACAAGAGTCGGTTTTCATGAAACCTGGTCTTATTCCACAAGGTTTCTATTCAATTTATAACACCATTGTTGCCCAGGGGCGATGTTGAACAAATGTCTGTTACAATGAGGATTATTGTTCTAATTGATGGAATCAGTGTACTATTGCATTATTAAGGGCCTCAGTCATGAGTCATGCCATGATTGCTGAGTACAAGTCATATTTACAGTCATATTTTCAACTTAAAGATTTAAATCATGTTGCGTAAGTAGAGTAAGTTGTCTTTATTCATAAGGTACATGCCACGTTAACTAAATTTTTTTTCTGAAAACTCCACTTATAATTATTACAGATTTGGCCCAACCCTTTTGTATTCTCTAACGCCACCACTAGAGGTGCCATTTGGACCAAACACAAAGTGACCACAGCTCACAAACAAGTTAGAGAATGGCAGATAATCTAATGGGGCACTAGATCAAATACGGAATCAAGATGAAAACGGAAGTAACAATCCTACTTTCGAATTATTTGTAGACTAATAAGTCCTTAGGTGGTGACTGGTTAAGTTTTAGGTGTCTGAGTAAGATGGTTAAGGTTAGGGTTAAGGCTGGGTTGGGGTTATTTTATGGGAATGGCTGGTTAAGTTTAGGTGTTAATAGGTAGTTTGTTATATTTACTTCCGCTTCTGTCCCGATTCCGTACATGATCTAGTGCTGACCGCGATCACTAGATCGCTAGCACTCTCGCCGCTCAGCAAGAAGGTCTTGGGTTCGAATCCCGGTTGGACCAGGGCCTTTCTGAGTGGAGATTGCATGTTCTCCCCGTGTCTGCGTAGGTTTCCTCCGGGTGCTCCGGTATCCCCTACCAATAAAAATATGTACAATAGGTCTGACATGTGCCTCCTGTACTGGCACCCCCACTCCCAAAAATAACAATTGTAAACCGCTTTGAGACTCCGATGTGCAGTGAAAAGGCGGTATATAAATAAAGATTACTTACTACTTACTAATGGTTGAAAGTTGAAATAGACTTACAAATAGAAATAGACTTTGATGAATTTTTGTTTACAACAAATCAAAACTGTCTGTCTGGTCCAAATCCAATTATTATTTTAAATATTGATACACAGCTATTGAATTATACAGCTGATAAAATGTTATTTCCTCCCAGAGCTTTGTCCCAGTCTGACTGCAGAAATACTGATGAATTGCTGCAGTCGTTAGGCACTTGTAAAGCAGCAGTGACAAGTGTGTTACATATTGTTGTGGAAGTAAAGGTCATGGCATCATGTCCTCGGCACTCGTCCAGTTACTACTTCTGCATACAAAGTAGCAGCCGCCCACACAAAAGGCTTCTCACTTTTTACCTTGTGAAACTATATTCTTTTTTGTTTCCTGGTATAATTATACTTTTAGGAATCAATGCGTTTGTGTGCGTGTGCGTACCAAATCCCAGAACTGGTATACACACACACAGTCTACAGGAATACACAGAAATTATGAAATGTATTTTTATGATTGAGTCCAAAATTATTCTAGCTAAACCCACTCAAACAAGGTCAACAGACGCTTCACTTTTTATACCAAATTCAACCAAATTCATTGCAATTCAACTTACAATGTCTAAAATATGACTTACCGTTAAAATTAACAAGCAGTTTTTGTGTTTACTAGCGTTATTTTTTTCACTTCAAAACATGTATGTGGTTTTAAATGCAGTCCCACACCCCATGGAAACCACTCAGGGTGAAACAAGTGCAGACTCACATGGTTTTGAGTAATTATATAAATGATCCAATTAATCAAGGCAATGACATTATAATCAGAGCAGGCCTATTCAGACCTGTCATCGTCCATGGCTCGCAGATCAGGTAAATTCAATCTTACTGATGCATCTATTTTAATGTTACTGACTACTGCAGGGAGTTTTAGACGAAACAAACAAGATATACGTTTTTGCGAAGTTAATATTTTCAGGCATTTACTCCCACAATGTAAAATATTTAAGAATGAAAACAAAACAGAAATCAGAATGTGTGTGGGA